CCAACCAATGATAACCATTAAAAGACCATACACGGAAAGGTGCAGAAACTTCAAAAGGATGGAGATGGAGATCACAGCTTCTTCTGCTTCCATAAAATTAAATTGTATGTATGCTCTTCCGCTGCTTTCTGCACCCAGTAGAGAATATCCCATCACGCAAATGAGATTGAAAGCTCAACAAACAAGAGAATAGGAATTAGGAAATATGATGATGTACTGCAGTGGACCAGATGAGAGGACAAACTTTAAAATAACACACCTATCATCCCATCTAATCCAGTTCGTCTTCAGCAACCTTGTCTCATAATTCATTGTTCTCTGCACGTAGAAATTGAATTGAAAAATTTTACCAAATGGATGCATATTTAAAGAAGGGAGAAAGAAGATATTTGAGAATATAACAAGCAACGAAATTTGGTACCTCAAATTTTCTCCAATAAATATCGACCATCCTTTTGAATGTCCTTCCAATTAATAATGATGTTTGGAATGTGATGGAACTTAGGCCAAAGACAAACTTCAAAATGTTTTAAAGAGGCAAGGTGTGATATCCCTTGAGATAGGGACGTTAATTCTGAGCATAATGCGACTTTCAATCTCTGAAGAGAGCGCATCCCCTGAGACAGAGACAGAGACTTCGGTCTTGGGCATGAAGCGACTGCTAGTTCTTGGAAAGAGGAGAGATTTTTTTCTGCCAATCTTCAAGCAGAGATTCCAAATTGAAAAATTGAAAGGGAAAGAAGCTACATGAATAAAAGCTAAGAATTTTATGGTACTACTCACATGTTCGAAGATTGTTGCAGACAATCAATCAATTATTTAGTCCATCGACACCCCTTCTAAGGTAAAACCCCTTCTCTTCCTTCTTCACTGAACTTTGCTGGATCTTGATAGCAGGAAGAAGGTATGCACATGCATGAACTTTACAAACAGCTGAAACTTCCATGGAGAATATCAAGTAATCCCTTGCCTCCACCCCAAAACCCTTCCTCTTTGTCTCGCTCTCTGCAGGCATCAAGTAATTCTGCTATTTATCTTCTCTTCATTTGTCTTTGGCAGGTAATCAGTTAAATCACTTGAAACTGAAGGACCGATGTCCACTGCCTGCAAGAGATGAACAAAAATATGAAGTAACCTGATGAACTTCACTATGAAGCATGCCGATTCATTGACATTGCATTCGAACCCATCTCTTGATCATCATTAAATGAGCTACCAGATGATGCAGGTGGTACTGCAGTCTTCGGAATATCAAAAATAGGTGTTTCATTTTCATGGTAACAGCTCTCATGCGTGGGATCAGGACTACAATCTATAACATAGGAGTCCTCCAGGACTGACTCTTTATTGGTCTTCCATAAAGCTAAGGAAATGCAACGAACATGAATCTTTATTGGTCTTTCATAATAACCTTCTCGTTAGTGAATATGGTTAGAATCCATACATTCTCATTTCCAGAATTCTAAATTTCGTGTATTGATCTTCGAAGTCATGAAGTATATGTCCATATTTTATATCGTACTGTTGGTTGATTGTGGGAATTTGTGGTAACTGAAATTACCAGACATCAACATAAAGTCTAATACGAGACTGATTCAAGGGATGAATTTCACTATAATCTGTTTGGCGACTCATTTTGTGATGAATGATGTTGCTGATTTCTTTTTCCTTTCTATTCGAATCTGAACAAGACAGCCTGTAGGATCAAAGTGCAAGGATCAAGCTACTCATGTTGCTTTGGAAGAAGAGACCATGAATATTGAGGCTGGGGCCAAGCTGAAAGAGTCTTCTCTTGCAATTTTCATAGGCCGCAAAATCCACTCATCTGTAGAAGAATTAGAGAGAAAATCAATCATTAGCCAAAAAAAAGAAAAAAAAAACAACACGAAAGAAACAAAACTAACTAAATTGCTCACCGATTTCTGTCCTGACTACTGAGGGTTCTTCTTTAGCTCCAAATGAGTGTCGGAAAGGAAACCATAAATGGCTTCTTTCATCTTGCCAAATTAAGTGTTCGTCGTAAAGAAGTAAGCGAAAACAGAGAGGGAAACCAAAAGAAAAGTGCTGGGGTATTAAAATGGGCCTTTTACCATGTGTACATATATTATGGGCCATAGACCTTACCAAGCCCATGGTTCAATCTAGCTTTTCCACTTCTGTCACGATTTGATGTTTTTATTATTATTATTGTTATTTATACAATTCATGGCTTCTTACACTAAAGCTAGTAAGAATGCCTTCTTCTCTTCTCTCTGTTTCCACCAATTTGCCCTTCTGTTATTGCTAAAAAATAAAAATAAAAATCATTTATACAATTCTATTTGCAGAGAAAGTGTGGGAAAATTAATGTGAATTTCATAATTTGGAAATGGATTATGTGTGTTTTAATTGTTTTAGGGTTTTCATGTTTTTCTCCTAATCCAAAAAAAAAAAAAAAAAAAAATAGAAAAAGGATTCAAAAGAAGCTGCTAAATCAAGAATATCAGCAATTACATGCTCTAGGTAACATAAATCTTCCTTTCCAGAATGAATTAGGCATGAAATATACAAATTACCATTGTATCAAAATTTTCTTAAAAATATATATATTTTTTCTTTACTTTTGGGTAATGTTTTGTTTGCATTTAAATAAGGATTCTAATTTTTTAAATAATTCAAATAAATTTGAGAAAAAAAATGTTTTCTTATTACTTAAGTCTTAAATAATTTCTCCTAACCTAACAAGTATGGCTAGTCATCACAATATGATCTTATAATTCCATTTAATTTTGACTCAAGTGGGATGAAATCAATGTTAAAGCCAGAGGTAACAGAAATCGCCAGGTTGCTTCTGCTCAGCCTCGGATTATAGAATCATGAGTTAAGTTCAATGAGACTGATCGAAGAGATGAATTTCACCACAAGAAATCTTTAATGTGTTGCTTTGGAAGAAGATCACCATGAATATTGGGGTTGGATCGCTCTACAATATTCATAGAATGCAAAATCCACACTCATCTAATGAACATCTCTTTTTATTGAGTTCCCTACTCTTGAATTTGTTGACATGTATGCAAATCTCTTTTTATTTTTATTTGTTTATTTTCACTTTTTGACCTTTTTTCCTCCTCTCTCCTTCTCCACCACAAATAAATAAATAAATAATTGATTGGACACATGTCAGCAAATCATGAATATTGAAAAAAAATTAACCAAGATGGTTTTAAAAATAGATATAAGACATTAATACGAATAAAAATAGAATAAGAAAAATAATGAAAAATCAAAATTAGAGAGATCTTAAAGGCTTTTATCCATTTAAGAAATAAAGAGGTTGAAGAAATGCAATCTAAACGAGGAATTATAAATAAAAATAAAAGATTGTCAAAGTCCAGTTTAAGAAATGAAGAGGTAGTAGAAATGGTACGTTCTACTTTCAGGACTAACTGGAAATCTTTGGCCGATCACACAATTTCTTCGATCTCCAATTCAGCTTGTTTAGTCTTGGTTTGAATGATGCATATTCGCATTTAAGATTCAGCCACAGAGTTACCTAGAATGGCCTATGCTGCAGAAATTCGAGATCTATATCTGATCCGGAGTTTCATGCGGATTCAACTATTTATTTAATTTTTAATTTTTATTTTTATAATAATTTGAGTATTCAAATATCCGAATCAAAGACAAGATGTAGGATCCAAATGACATAAAAGTCGCTAATGACTTTTTTTTTTCCCATATTTTATTCTACATGGACTTGGAAATTTTATATTAAGAAGCAGAAAAGGAAGTTCTTTAATCATTCAAGAACTACATACTCTTTTTTGAAGTATTAATAACTTAATACAAATATTTTTATTGCAAGAGTGCATAATTATTCAACAAAATTTTATCAGTTAATTAATAACTCCAAAATTAAACAAGTGCATGCATATATAATGAAAAAAAAAACCATAAGGTGGTAGTTTTCCGATAATCAAATGTTGACTTATAAGTTAGGTTTAAGATTCAATTCTTTTGACAAGCATTTCTGAGAATTTATTTTTAAAATACTCAAAAATTTAAGAATGCTTTTTTATCACGCTCAAAGAAAAATTAGTCTCGAAAAACATAAAAATTGATCTAGAGATATATTCACTGTTGAACTTAAATATAAAAAAAAAAATTCACACAACAAATTAACATTATTAAATTATATATATTCAATTCTTAGGCACCTCGCTTAGATAGAAATTAAATAGTGAAATCATCATCATTTTTTTTTTTTTTTTAGTTTAGCGGTGGTGGAAACCGGAAAGGGTTTCGGAAGGAAAGTTGGAGGTTTTGAATCGGTTATGGCTAGATTTTGTTTGAGTCCTAAAATTCGGGCTTTATTTGCACGATATTGTGAAATTTGGGCCTTAACATAATAAACTTGAGCTACTGGGCCTGATAATGACATATATTGGGCCAGATACATAAATCAATATAAATGTAAAATTGGTAACATATTACCTATTCTTAAAATTAATTATTTCAGAAGAATAATAAAATATGACCATTACAGTACTGAAATAAAATAATTTAAAAGCTGATATAATGTTGGAAAGCCTTCAGCCACACTCGAATCTTCCACAGTTGCAGGTATTAAATTATGGAGGTATGAGGTTGCCAAGTTGGCTTTCACATCTCACAAATCTTGTTAAGATTGATCTGAAAGATTGTAGAAGACTTAAGCATATCCCTCCCTTAGATGGAATCCCTTCTCTTGAAGAATTGATTATTGTCGATTTACGTAATCTGGAGTACATAGATAGCGAGGGGGTTACAGGAAGAGGAGTGTCCACGTTTTTCCCATCCCTAAAAAAAATTAGTATCGAGGACTGTACTAGGCTGAAGGGATGGTGGAAGAAGAGTGATGAGATTAATGATAATGGTGATGAGTCAACAACCACAACAGAAGAAGAGTTGATGATGCTCTCTTTTCCACGTCTTTCTTCCTAGTCAATTTACCTAATTTGTTTGAACCAGTAAAACTCCTTTCACTCATCCCTCTTGTATAGTTCTGGACAAATATCGGGGCTGCAAAGGAGCGGCTGTTAAGTCAATGAGAACAAAAGATATGAGACGTTTTTTTTTTTCAGTGGGATAAAGGAGTAAATTATAAGTTGGTCGTTCTTTCTTGTACTCCTCCAATCAGTATTTTTGGTTTATTTATAGATTAAACTAGTTTTACATTATTTTAAAGAAATCATACAAAAATACCCTCAATTGTTGGCTCATAATCCTTGCATGCCTCAAATTCTCCCCATCTGATCATTGGATCGAACTGACATCATGAAATACCCTCTCATCTTGCATCTTAAATTCTGTAACAGACCAGAATTTATTGTAACAGCTGGCTATCATAACTTCTGGAAAACGTATGCAGTCATCTAGCAATTGGGAATTTGAATTGGAGTTAACATCTAACTTTTGCAATAGCCTTGTTGTCCATTCAGTTAGAATAGGACTGATATCATCCAATAGAACCTCCACTTCAGCAGCCCCATCACAGTCCACCTCAACCTCCACAGCGTCATCTTCTTCCCCAGCACCCCTCTCTGTAGAATTTGAATGTAAAGACAAATCTTCATCTTGTCGTTCCATTCGGTTTGTTGACCGTCGCTAAATATCCGTCGCTAAAACTCAATTTTGTTGTATTATACTTGCCGGGCTCCCTAGCTACCACTATCTGCCTTAGAAATGTCTCAGCAGAAATCATATTTGATGCAATATCACTTCACAAGGTAGCTCATTTCTGTGGCCCGCCAGTTATTTTGAGCACCATTGCAAATGCACCAGCTAGTCAACAAAGTCCACGTCCAAGCAGTGTTAATGTCATTATAGCCGGTCCATTTCCAAACGAAGGATCGAGCTAAAGATATTATCAAATAGTGCTTCCACCTCTATTGTTTTTATAGCCTCTCTCCTTGACATGATTATATGTTTAGCTAGGTCCTTTATTTGTATGTAATCGTTATGGGATGAAGGATTGGGATTTAGTGTGAGTCACGGTTATGGGATGACGGAAACCCTTGGTACAGCAATTGTTAGGCCATGAAAATTAACCTGAATTGGATTCTACATTTGGGAGTGACAAAGAAAAAAATTAGAAACCGCGAAGGATTGCATAACCTTTTGATTGAAGGGATTGATGTGAAGAATCCGAACACCATGGAAAGCATACCGAATGATGGAAAAATCATTGGTGAATTGATGTTTAGAAACATTTTGACGTCAGGGTACCTAAAAAATTCTAAAATTACCCAAAAAACTTTTAGGGGTAGATAGAATCACACAAGAGACCTTGGTGTTAGGCATCAAAACAATTACATACAAATGAAGTATGGATCTAAAGATATTATCAAATACTACTTACACCTCTAATGTGTGCTTATAGCCTTTAGCTTACAATCAGTCCATTTTCTCGTCTTCTTCTTTTGATTGAGAGGTCTTATCCTCTCATTAAAATACTCTAGTAAAGTCTAAACGTACCACTTAATTTGTTTTTTTGGGCCAGGTCTTAACCTAAAAAATCTACGTGTATCAAATTGGTAGGTGTGAAATTGAATTCCTTGTCCTCGTTTCAGCTCCCCCAACTGTCCCAACAACCAATCATAATTTCTGTCCTCAGCTTGTGCTTTGATTGTAGTTTCAGCTCCCCCAACCGTCCTTAGCTTGTATGTATTAAAATAAGAAATCTAATTTTCTTTTTTAAACAAGATTGAGAATTTTGAGAATAAAAATATTTTCTTATGACTTAAGTTTTAAATAATTTCTCCTAACCCAATAAGTACTATGGCTAGTCATCACAATATAATCTCAATTGTAATTATCCCATGGTTTTACTCAAGCTCTTCACACCAACATAAGCCTTCTAGCCTTCAAACCAATCACCACCATTCAAAGCAAGTAAACACCCTTAACACCATCTTGTCTCTCCTTTCTTTTTTCTTCCCATTTTTTTGTGTTTCCCTCCACCCACTCTTTTTCTACTCACTAAGAAAAAATGGCTGAAGGTGTGCTCTTCAGTGTCGCTGAGGAATTAATAAAGAAACTGGGCTCCCTAGCTGCTCAGGAGGTTGCTCTCTGGTGTGGGGTCAAGGATCAGCTACGCAAGCTCAAGGGCACAGTTACCAGAATCAAGGCTGTGCTGGATGACGCTTCAGAGCCGGCACGAAAACAAAGCAATCAAGTCCAAGACTGGTTGAGGAAGCTGCAAGGAGCAGTATATGATGCAGAAGATTTGCTGGATGACTTCTCGACAGAAGTTCAGCGGAAACAATTGGTGCATGGGAACAAAGTATCGAGGGAGGTACGTGTTTTCTTCTCGAAATCAAACCAATTTGTTTATGGTTTGCGGATGGGTCATAAAGTTAAAGCACTTAGGGAGAGATTAGCTGACATCGATGCCGACAGTACACAATTCAACTTTAAGGGTAGTGATGAGGAGAAAGCTTGTTTGACTATGGTCAGGGAGCAAACTACCTCCTCTGAACCTGAAGTTATAGTTGGGAGAGAAGGTGATAAAGTGGCACTTAAAACTTTTCTGCTGAATTCCAACTATGAACAGAATGTTTCTGTCATCTCAATAGTTGGAATAGGTGGATTAGGGAAGACCACACTAGCTCAACATGCTTTCAATGATGAGCAAGTTAAGGTGCACTTTGGTGTGAAATTCTGGGTTAATGTCTCAGGTGGTTTAGATGTGAAAAAGATTCTGGAAGATATCTTAGATGCTGCTGGTGTTAGGAGAGATTTTGATCAGTTAGAGAATCTGAAAAATGAACTTCAAAAAAAAATTGAAAAAAATAAGTATCTTCTCGTATTAGATGATGTGTGGGATGGTCAAGATGATGGTGAAAAGTGGGATAGGTTGAACGAGTTGTTACCACATGATGTTGTAGGAAGTAAGGTAGTAGTAACCACACGTTCCCATAGAATTGCAAATCTCACAAGCACAATACCACCACATGATTTACAAGGTCTATCAGTAGATGAGTCATGGAATCTTTTTAGAAAAAGGGCATTTCCTCAAGGTCATGAGTCGGATCACGTAGATGAAAACATTAGAAAAGAGATTGTAGAGAGGTTTTGTGGAGTTCCTTTGGTCATAAAGTCAATTGCGAGGCTAATGTCTTTCAAAGATAGAGTCCAGTGGTTGTCTTTTATAAAACAAGAACTTCCACTTAGGGTCCAAGATGATAACATCATACAGACCCTTAAGTTAAGCTACGATCCTCTTCCTTCATACATGAAACATTGTTTTGCATACTGTAGCTTATGTCCAAAAGGTCTTGTGATTGATGTAAAATCATTGATTCAAGTTTGGATTGCACAAGGGTTCATTAGCTCTTCGGGTAGTGGGAGTCTTGAAATTGCTGGGCTTAGGTGCTTTGAGAATTTAGCGTGGAGGTCGTTCTTTCACGAAGTGAAAAAGGATGCTTTAGGTAACATAGAAAGTTGCAAAATGCATGATTTTATGTGTGATCTGGCAACCAAAGTCGCTGGTTCTGAAAGCATCAAAGTGGAGACGAGGAGAGAAGATAGGATAAGTGGTTTGACTCGACATGTGTCATTTGGCATGGAATTGGATTTGTCACAACAAATTCCAATCCCCTCGCGTAGTGCAAAACGGTTAAGGACACTTATGATGCTGGGTGGGAAATGGAGTGAGGGGGCATGGAAGTCAATTTGTCAAGACTTTAGGCGTTTACGTGTGCTTGATTTGCACGATTTAGAAATAATGGAAGTGTCACCTCTCATCGAAAAGTTCAAGCTCCTTACGTATCTTGATCTTTCGAATAATGAGATGGAGGCACTTCCTAATTCTATCACCAATCTAATAAATTTGCAAGTGTTCAAGCTTAATGGGTGTTACAACCTTGAAGCACTACCAAGAGATATTAATAAGCTGATTAATCTTAGGCATCTTGATGTTGGTTGCTCTCTTGATAGAGATTTATGTGAAAGTTTGGAGTATATGCCTAGTGGGATTGAGAAATTAACTTCTCTTCAGACATTGTCATGTTTTGTGGTTGCAAAAAAGGTCCAGAATCAAAGATGGTTGGTGGATTGGATGAGTTGGGTAGATTAAATGAATTGAGAGGGAGCCTAGAAATAAGAGTTAGGGGATATGCGAGGAATTGTTGTATATTTGAATTTGAGGGAGCTAAATTGATAGAGAAACAATATCTTCAGTCGTTGACCATAGTGTGGAATAGTGAGTTAGAGATTGCTATTGATTTGTGTGATAAAATGTTGGAAAGCCTTCAGCCACACTCGAATCTACAACATTTGATGGTTAGAAATTATGGAGGTATGAGGTTGCCAAGTTGGCTTTCACATCTCACAAATCTTGTTAAGATTCATCTAAAAGGCTCTGGAAGACTTAATTATATCCCTCCCTTAGATGGAGTCCCATCTCTTGAAGAATTGCATATTGAAGCTTTATCTAATCTGGAGTACATAGATAGTGAGGGGGTTGGAGGAAGAGTAGTGTCGGTGTTTTTCCCATCCTTAAAGAAACTCACGATTGAGTCATGTGAAAGGCTGAAGGGATGGTGGAAGAAGAGTGATAGAGATGAGTCCACAACCACAGCAGAAGAAGAGTTGATGATGCTCTTCTTTCCACGTCTTTCTTCCTTGAGAATAGACAATTGTCCTAAACTGTCTTCAATGCCATTGTTTCCAACTCTAGATGATGAGTTACATTTGTGGTCGACCAGCTCAGTGCCATTACAGCAGACAAGGAAGATGAGAGGTTGGAAATCAACATCATCAGTCTCTTCTTCTTCATTTACCCGTCCTCTCTCCAAATTGAAGGAACTCAGAATTGGTGATATCGAGGATATGGATTATCTTCCAGAAGATGTGCTGCAAAATCTCTCTTCTCTTCAACAGTTACATATTGGGCATTGCCGAAGATTGAAGGCTCTGCATCTACCTGCTCAGGGGATGCATTCTCTTCAGAGATTATGGATCATTGGATGCAGAGAATTAAGGTCTCTATCTGAATCTGAATCTCAAGGGATACCCTACCTTCCCTCTTTGGAACAATTAATTATCAATGAGTGCGGTGAAGAGTTGAGTGGAAGATTAAGAGAAGGGAAGGAGGGTGTGGAGTACTGGCCTAACATCAAACACATTCCAAATATTAAAATTGATACATATTACATTCAAAAGGACGGTCGCTATGTAAAGGGGGAAAATTTGAGATGGTAAAAGCACCAGAGAGAATTTGAGGTAATTAATTTTGTTTTATTACTATCATTATTATTTATATTTGATTCCATACTCTCTATTTATTTATTCCTTAAAATCATTACTTATTATATTTGTCAATTATTTTGTCCATGCTCAGTTTTACCGCACTTCTTAATTCAGTTGCCGATTGCACTTCTAAGGTAAAACCCCTCCTCTCCCTCTCTCTCTCTCTCTTAGAATACGAGGTATTTGAGCTATTCCTTAATTTTGTTTTATTATTATTATTTGACTCCTCACTCTCTTTATTTATGTGGTGCAAAATCTCTCTTCTCAATCAATTAAAAAAGTTGTCAAGGTACCATCCCTGTTTATTATTATTTTTTTTTAAAAAAAGCTTGTTA